TGTATATATATATAAATATAAATATATATATGTTTGTGCATGTGTGTGTGTGTGTGTGTATGTGTGGGTGGGTGTGGGTGTGTGTGTGTGTGTGCCTAATGCTTTGCCCTGATTCCCAGCTTCTGTCCATTGTACCCACGCCCTGTTTATCTGCCCCGCCCTAAGCGTTTATTTCCTTCTTTGCTCCACTTCCTATTAAGAAGGAAACTTTCTTTTCCTTTCGTCTCGTTCCTTCTAGATTTTTCCTATCTCCGTCCCCCTCCCTTCGTCAGTCCCTGTTAGCTTTTTTTTTAGGGTTTTTGTTTGTTTTTGTTTTGTTATTTTTTTTTAGGTTTTTCGATTTTAGATAGCCGGAACTCATTTACGGGTAGCATGCGATCCACTGTAGCCATCAAGGAAATTGGCCTCCTGAATGCGCAGACGATCGCACCTGGGCGCCAGCGAATGATGCCGCTTGGCATTGTGTCCATGGGCATGGTGCCTCTTGTGCCAGGCATTCTCGTAGCCACCCTTGCTACTCCCGACCGGGAAGTAGTTGGAGTAGGCGTGTGCCAGCTTGTGCGAGTGCTGGGCCAGCGAAGATGACCTGCAGTCCTTGGTGTGTGTCGACGTTGAGGAGAGGGGACGACTGGACTTCGATGTGTCGGGGCGGTTGGACAGTGGCGGGACATGGCAGCTGCTCGTCTTGTAAACGCTGGACAGATTGGGCAGCTCGTAGGCATTGGCATCGCTCTCGTCGCGGGCCAGAAATTCACGCAGCTGCAGCTGCTTCTGTTTGTCCCGATCGAGTTTGGGGTGATCCGCCTCGACGCCGGAGTCGCTTTGTGGCGTTTTGATGGCGCTCTTTATGGCCGACGACGGCAATACCGGCGTATTTTCGGACTTGTTGCTCATCACCGACGGCGGGGAGTACAGCAAGCGTTCGATATGATGGCGCAGTCCTTGCTTGCTCAGAAGCTGTTGGTTGTCCTGGACGTAGTGCAACAGCTGGCGCTTGCACTTGGCCATCTCCTCCTCCAGCCGGAGCAGCCGCGTCTTATAGCAAATGAATGCCGCCGATGCGTTCGACGCCCTCAACGCATCGTCTGTCTTCTCGTCCATGGGGACCACTTTGTCCACCGGCCGGACGGTGCCATCTGGCGTATAGAAGCGATCGACCCTGTTCCCGGGACTCAGGTAATTCATCCGACGCTGGTGGCGTGGGGCGCGCATCCCATTGCCCGTGGACTCCCGGACCATTTTGCGCATCTGATGCTTTGGCGGCAGGTGAGTGCGCTGATTCCCGCCGTCAGCGTCGTTCATATTACATTTTTTCTGCTGCAGCTCGCGATGCTCAAGCTGCATTCGCTCCAGGGCTGTGGTCAGCTCCGCGGATTTCCGATCCTTGCGTTGTTGCTCCTCCGCAGAGGGGGTCTGGCTGGCCGCAGCATCGGACTGAGCCGGCGGAAACGCTTGCACCGTTCGCGATGAATCGGAACTATTCGACGAGGAGCGTCGAGGAGCTGGCGCATGCCCGTGAGCCGGATCGAAACGCAAGGCCTTGGAATGCTGTCGGTCCGCGTTTTTTGTTTGAGTGTACTCCTTCACCTGCTGCTTGATAGCCTCAGCTCGCGACTTGGCCAAGCCTGATGGGGTCGCCTGGCGGGGGCGCGATATGTGCTCTTTATGTTTATTAACCGACTCGGCCGGAGTTGATCGCCGGTGCTGTTCATCGGCTTTGGTCCTGGCCATGCGCCTCTCCTTGCATTCGCGGCGCAATTTCCTCACTCTCGCCCTCAGCTGAGCCGTGGAGCACAGCCCCTCACCGACCACCTCGATTTCTGCCGCCGTGGGCGGAGACTCCTCCCACAGATGCAGCGGTGGCACTACCGTGCCCGACTGACTCGTCACTGGCGTCCGCCAAATGCCACCTATGCAGCGCGGAGCTGTGGCAGCCACTGAGGCTGTGGCTATGGCTGGTGCTATGGCTGTGGCTGTGGCTGTGGCTGCCGCTGCCGCTGCTGCAGCAGCTGCCAGTTCTCGACGCAAGGCCACGTGAGCTGATTCCCCTGGACGACGTATATACCTGGCGTCACTTGGACAGCGTTTGTTCCCGTGTTGCTGTTGCTGTTGCTCCTGCTGCTGTTGTTGCTGCTCCTGCTGTTGCTGCTGTTGTTGCTGTTTTTGTTGCTCCTGCTGCTGTTGTTGCTGTTGCTGCTCCTGCTGTTGCTGTGGTTGCTGCTTCCTTTTCAATTTCTCCTGATGATCCCTTTCTAAAAGCTGTTCTATCCGCCTCAACTCCTGCTGAGCTAACCGATACTCTATMCGCTGCTGCTGCTCCTGCAGGTGGCGCACTTTTATCATTTGCTCTTCGTACAGCTTATCCCGTCGCTCTTGCTCCTGTAGCTGTTGCTGTACCCGTAGCTGATGTTGCTGTATCCGTTCCTGTTGCAGCTGCCGTTGCCGTTGCCGTTGCCATTTCTGCAGCTGTTGCTGTGTCATCTGTTGCTGTTGCTGCTGCTGCTGTTGCTGTTGCTGCTGCTGCTGTTGCTGCTGTTGCTGTTGCTGCTGTTGCTGTTGCTGCTGCTGCTGTGGCTGCTGCTGCGGATGTGAATGCGGGTGCTGTTGAGCGTGCGGGTGGGGGTGCGGGTGCGTGTGTTGGTGTGGATGTGTCTGGAAATGTTGCTGCTTCCGTTGCTCCTCCACCCAGGCCTTGGTCAATGTGGAAATCGGCTGTCCGGGCGGATCCGTTTGTACGGTGGCCTGGGAAATGCTTGCGGATTGCCTAAGGCGAGTGAGGGAAAAGTGAAGAGGTGAAGTGGATTTGGGAAGTGTAATTAACGTAAGACGTATGTAGCTTTGGTGTGTGCTTCAGGTGCAGTTGGGCTCGAGTAGATTTCTATAAGTATCGTCAAGTATACCTAACACTATCTATCATATAAAAATATTATTCAAAGGACCAATCCCAATGCCTGACTTTACCTAACCTACCTAATCTATATATTGAAATATAACAACTTTGATAGCATTCGCATCTATAGATAATCTCAACTAAATCTAAAGAATCTAAGTTTATATTCTTAAGCCTGATTATATCTACTGCTATATCAAGGACGAGTCTAGTCAGGTTACCCCAGTTTTTATAGCGAAGCACGAACACTATATTTATTTTATTTAGTTTAACAATAGATACTCTTAAATATACGAAAAAAAATTCGGTTGTTTTATAATACTCGTTCACGATTTTAAAACAAACTATCTTAGATACATATAAGTTAGAGTACTCTTTGAACCCTGCATAGAGACGAGACTCCAAGCATTTTATGAACTTGACAGCCGGACAAACAGACAAGTGGACGGACAGACAGACATAGCTGGATCAACTCAGTTCGTCGTTTCGATCAGGGATATATGTGTATACTGTATAGAGTCTACCACGCCTCCTTCTGTCGATCGTATGCAAATGTATAAAACTTGTATACCCGGAATTCCCATTTACATTACGGTCATGGGCACAGACCCTGCCTATGAAGGCTATATGAATGTATAATGTCAGATCTCGTCAGTTTAATAGGACAGACAAGGATAGAGTCGTGAATGAACCACATCGTAAACGAGTATTAAAACAGCTGCTTAAGATATGGTAAAGGCCTAGTCTAAATGGGGAAGCCTTAGGGATAGCTCTAAGGATAGGTCGCCTGACGCTGAGCTGAACGCGAATAATGTCGCTGTTGTTGTCGTTGTTGTTGTTGTCGCTGTTGCTGTAAGCTCGTTAAATGCGATGCTGGAGTTGAAATGGAAGTGCACGAAGATGTGGATGTGGATATGGATGAGGATGGCTCTCGTCCACTTTTTGATAGAGCCGCACGCTGTTGCCTACAGCTTGTTGTGGTCGTTGTTGTTGTTGGCTTTGTCTTAGTTGTTGTAGCTGTTGTCGTTGCTGCTGCTGCTGCTGTTGCTGCTGTGCTGAACGCCGTCGTCGCTGTGGATGACGACGAACGTCTATGCTATGAGCGACGACACCTGCAAAATGAAGCAATCGAGCGAGCAGCTAGATCAGCATACTCCAAGCACTCGCACCGCCCATGCTTCGCACCACCCAAGCCACACCACAAGAAAACAAGATGGAGGGGGGGAATGAACTCACCTGGATTTCGATTCAGATCGCGCACGGCTCGGCGTCTGGCTCGACGGCTGATCGGGGCTAGCCGTTGAGATCACTGGTGTAGTGGACGAGCGCCCTTCACTAGATCGCAGTTCAGGCGCAATCATTTCGTAGAGGGTGGTACGGTACTCATCGACGCCGTACCGCGTATCGTCGTCCAACGGCGGCCTGATGTCGGCACGCAGCTCCATGTTCGCCGAGGAGGTGCGAAAGCGATGCACATAGGAGTGGGCGATGGCCTCCTTGGCGGTTAGCCGCCCTTCCGGATCGAGCACCAGCAGTGACTTTACCAGCGACAATGCATCGTCACAGCAATTGCGCAGTATCTCGTCCAGGGAGTACCGCCGGTCCCGCACGATCTTCTTGCTGAGCAGCACCGACCCGAAGCTGGCTCCGATGGATTCGATATCGCGATCCGTCACCTCCGGCAGCGCATTCACTATCTTCTCAATCTGATTGATGGTGCTGGTGCCTTGGAAGAGCGGCTTCTGGCGTATCATCTCGCCCAGTATGCAGCCCAGGCTCCACATATCAATGCCCTTCGTATACCTAATGCACACATTAATAATCCAAATAAGACTCAAACCAACTGCGACTACTCTACTTGACGCTTACTTGCGACTGGCCACCAGAATTTCGGGTGCCCGATACCAACGGGTCGCCACATAATCTGTCAGCATCGCCTCGTTATCGAGCTCATCCTTGCAGTCCAAATCCGCATTGCTTCGCCGCTTCGTGCACAGAGTGCGCGCCAGACCAAAGTCGGCTACCTTAAGCCTTTGGGAATATATGTATACAATAAATATAGTAGCAATGACAATGACAATGACAATGACAATGACAATGACAATGACAATGACAATGACAATGACAATGACAATGACAATGACAATGACAATGACAATGACAATGGCAGCAATGAAATGACAATGACAATGACAATGACAATGACAATGACAAATAGACCTACCTGCACTTGCTATCGATCAGAATGTTGCTTGGCTTGAGATCCCTGTGGATGACATTACCGGAGTGCATATACTTGATCGCATTGATCAGCTGATACATGACGAAGCGCTTGTGTATGTCCTTGAGGACGTCGCCCTTTTTGATGACATTGTGCAGATCGCTGTCCATGAACTCGAAGACCAAATAAAAGTCCAGATTGTTCGCAGCTCTGCAAAGAGGAAACTTAAGGAGCATCAGCAGAAATGATGAGGAAGCTCTGAGGCCTACTTGAAGATGTCCAGCATCCGAATGATGTTCGGATGATGCCGAAAGGCGCGCAGGAAGACGACCTCGCGATAGGTGCGCTGTGCATCGGTTTCATCCCGGAAGGCGTCGTAGATCTTCTTGAGTGCCACGGTGTCCTTTTGTCGCCTGTCCGTGGCCTTCCACACAATGCCGTAGGCGCCCTTGCCCAGACGCTGCACACGCACGGCATACATATATCGATCAGTAATCAGCGATAAACGATAGACGATTAACGATCACAAATTTAGCCTACCTTGCGCACTTCAAAAAACCGCTCCACATTCTTATCAAGCTCATGTATGCGTCGCTCCTGAGCATTCGCTAGCCGTTCGGCCATTTGCCTGTCCCTCTCCTTATCCTTATGCTTCTCTTTCTGCTTATCCTTCTCCTTATCCTTTTCCCTGTTCCGCTCCTTATGCCGCTCTCTATCCTTGTACACAGGCCTGGGCAGTGATTCGGTCTTCCGTATCCGCATGTGTTGAGCGTGATATTGATGCGCCTCCCGCTGCTTATCTGCTACCTGCTGTGGTTCCACTGATGGCACTGGCTGCAGTGGTTGCTGTGGTTGCTGTGGTTGTGGTTGATCTGGCTGCAGCTGGTGTTTTTGCTGCTGCTGTTGTTGTTGTTGTGCCAGTCGTAGTTGTTGTTGTAAGTGTTCTTGTTGCTCCGCTAGTTTTCGATGCCGACGGCGGTATTTCCGCTTATCCACCTCCAGCTCTGGAATTGCAATATTATCAACGCATCCGCCAACTTTTTGTGCGACGTGCCGCCGGTCGGCTTCGTCCTGTGCGGGCGCCAGTTTGTGGCAAGCACTTCAGCACTTTCTATGGCGGCTGTGGGTGCAAGTGGGTGCTTGAGTGGTTGAGTGGTTGAGTGCTTGAGTGCATGGTGTTAAGTTGTTGCTGCTGTTGCTGTTGTTGCTGCTGTTGCTGTCGCGTGTGAATGTTGCTGCTGATGGCTTTGTGTTCGCATTGTAAGAGTCTATCGTCGCCTTCATATGCAAAACGCAGGCCCAGGTATGTATGTTAAAAATGCAACAATAACAACAACAACAACAGCAAGAACATGGAATCATCATAAGGCAATTTTGATTGAAACGAAATTATTGTTAGATCGATCGAAAAGCGAAAGTGGGCGACAACAGCAACACAACAACACAGCAACAACAACAGGGCAAACAATTTGGCCTAGCAATGCCAACAAATGGACAAATGGAACCAGGACCCTCAAGTGCCCAGGGCAACGTCATATGTTTTTGTTTTTGTTGTTGTCGTTGTCGTTGTCATTGTTGTTGCAATTGCCAGCAAATGCCAGTCCCACAAAAAACAATCAAACAACGCCTCAAATGCCATCGAATCGTGCATGCAATCGAATATGGAGCAAAATGATTTTGTTTAACAATAAATATATACGAGAACCCTTACTCCCCCATCTACTTAAATGTGTGTACTTCAAGTCTACACTGATCCAAATTAAATATCACTTTCAATTGGGAACGAATCTGACATTCAGCGAGAACCGTTATAGAAATTGAAATATAAATAGTTTCACGAATTCTTACAGCTAGCAGTGATTCAATATAGCCTTAAACATATAAACATATATATATATATATATGAATTCATCACCCAATTGAATTATCATATAGATTAAATCATCAATCACGATGTAATGTTTTGATTATTGAATTTTGTCATATTTATATATATGCACCTGCATCAAATCGTAATAATCAATCAGAACTTATACATTCAATCATATTCAATCCAGAATTCCATTATATTACTTATAATATATATTCAATCAACTAAAAATCAATTTTTATTAAATCAAGTATAAGCAATGATAAATCATTTAGTATATTCAATTTTCTGAATTTACTGCTATTAAGGTTTGTCTCTCATAAAGTCGGGCTATTTAATTTTATCAGATTCTAAATATACCAGGAAATGTAATTCTTAATTATTTGAAACCCCTCAAGATGATGAGATAAGATCTACCAACTGCCATACAATGATTTTCAATTCATATCAGAATTCAAACTAAAAATACTTTAATTCCTAATGAGAGTGGATTTAATAATTTAGATATTAATTCGAGATTCGATTCTAACAGAAAAATACAAAGTGCAGTGTAGAGCTAGAGAAATAAATTATTTTTTTTTTTTTTGGCACAGCTGCCAATGGAGTTGGCGCCATGCATGTCACTTACCTGCCGATGAATGGATGAATTGATGGATGGATGGATGGGAGCTAGACCCGGAGCTGGAGGCCCCTAAATGTTCCACTTGGCCGAGCCAAGCTGTGGCGACTCGTTGGCAATCGAACTATGAGCGGCTATTGCGGTACTGACAACATCAACTTACAATTTGCACACGCTATATGTATATACATACACACACACACACACACACAGAAGCAAAAAAGGGAAGTGTATATATGTATATGTAGATATGTTCAAATGAAATCACAAATGATTAATATTGGGTATTAGAACGAGTGTTGAATCCAAATGCAACTGTGGAAGGAAAACGACGATGATGGAATATTTAAAAAGACGTTAGATTTAGTTGATAGAGAAACGCACGCACCCACCTCTAGATGTGTTGTGAACAACGTATATGAGAAAACGTAGTAAGTGATGGCAAAAAAAAATTGCAGTGGTTTATCGATGGGTGGATCGATGTTTGTTTGTTTGATTGATTGGTTGATTTATTGAATGAGTGATCAGTTCCAGTTGTCCGCTAATTCGTGAACCGTTATTCGGAAACCGCCATCAATTCAAATAAATTATTTCTGGGCTTCTTGAACCAAATCAAATGTAATATGTTTTGTTTTAACTGCTCCTGCGACTTTATAATTTAACCGTTTTCCACTTGCGGATCCGCTGAACTTATCGGAATCACGCTGTTCAATTTGAGTATTGCACTTAAGTATGTTTACACACGCACATACATATATATATTTATATATACATATAGACATATACATATATGTATAAAGTGTGTAGCAGGAGCTATAT